CCCCAAAACAGGCCAACCCCCACCTCCTTGTACTTGTCCTCCAGGCTGTCTGCGTCCAGGTCCTCCTCGATGTACTTGGCAAAGTGCCTGTTGTACTTCTCGGGGTCCTCCTCCTCCATCTCCTCCATGTACTCAGACACGTGGCCGCCAAAGATGTACTTCTTCAGCACCTGGGGGGGGGGGGGGAGGTGTTGTGTGTTCGTGAGTGAGTGATAGACTGTGTGTGTATGGAGGGGACGTGTGCGCACGTGTGTGCATGCGCATGCATGCTTGCGGGCATGTGTGTGTGTGTGTGTGTGTGTTTGCGCGCGGATGCACAGGAGAGGCGAGAAGAGTCTTGCCCAAGTGGGGCTGGGAGTGCACAACCTCCCGAGAGCCGCGCCACCGCGCAGGGTGCCACGCGCAGGAAAGGCCGCCCGCGACCCGGCCGCCGTGCCGCGCGCCATCCAGCACAGCAGACAAGAGTCACAGGAACTCGGAGGGATCGCCCCCCACCCCCGCGCCCGCCCCTGCCGGCTGCACCCCTGACCTCGGCATCGAGGCCCTCCTCCTTGGTCCAGCCCACAAAGCGCTTCTCATTGTGGGGGATGTCCAGGCCGCCATCCAGGGCGCCCTTTGGGGGGAGCGCGCGCGCGCGCGCGCGTGTGTGTGTGTGTGTGTGTGTGTGTGTGTGTGTGTGTGTGTGTGTGTGTGTGTGTGGGAGGGGGGGGCTGGGTGACGCAGGGATGCGCCAGAGAGGGGTGGAGCGCAGCCCCCGCAGCTATGCGGTGCGAGAGGTGTCGTGCACGCTGCTGCTGCTGCGGCCGCAGCCATAACCGCCGGCGCCGCCACCGCCGCCGCTGATGCTGTTTCCCCTGCTGCAGCTGCTGTTGCTGCTCGCCAGAAACGCCCTGAGCCGTGATGGGCCCGAGCAGGCCGTTGTGATGTGACCCGCAGGGGCGCGCCATCCGCGCCGCTGCAGAAACTCCCGCCCGCAGGCTCGGCCCCGCGTCCTCAGCTTCGGCTGCAACCCCCTCCCAGTGGTGGGCCGGCTGGGCCGCCACGGCGCTCGCTCCAACAACTAGTCCGCAAACACACCGATTGCACCCAACCTACCCCCATGGTGCGACACCCACCCTCGCCCACCCACACCCGCACCCCCACACCCCCACACACACAAACACCCTCACACACACACATCCACGCGCACCTTGAGGGCGGCAAAGGTCTTGGAGCCGGTCGAGGTGCGCTTGAGCCCCGCGTCCAGCAGGCAGCTGAAGGGGCGCGGGCCGTCCTCCACGGGGTCCACGTTGTAGTCCTCGCCGTCGGGCTCCTCCTGGCCGGCGTAGTGCTCGGCCAGGCCAAACTTGGTGAGCACGCGGCGCGCGAGCAGCAGGCCGACGCAGTAGGCCGCCGCGTAGTTCTTGAGGCCGACGTTGAGGCCGTACTTGGGGAGCTCGTGCGCGTAGGCCGCGGCCACGACGACGTCGCCGGCGATGGAGGCGTAAACGACCTGGCAGGTGACGTCCTTGTTGGAGAAGCGCACGACCAGGCGGTACTTGTGGGTGTTGTACTTGTTCTTGTCCTGGGTGCACAGCCTGAGGCGCGCGCGGTAGTCGGTCTTGCCCTGGCGGCGCCGCCTGTACTTGACCTGCGGAGACAGGGGAGGGTGGGCGTTGGGGCCGGGCGGGGGTGAGGTCGCGGTGGCGCAAGAGCCGGATCAGGAGCCGTCCGGGGACTGCGGAGCGGCAGGGCCTGGCGCGCGGCCAGCGACGCTGCTCCGCGGTGCCGGGCGCAGGGCAGATCTCGGCACGACGCCCGGCGAACGCCAGGCCGCTGCGCCGTGGGACGCCGCTGCCCGTGCCGCCGCAAGCGTAAGCCTCGCCGCACTGCGCCACATCGAAAGAGCTGCTGTAGCCACGAACACGCCTCGGGCGCCGAGCGCGCCGGCCCCTCCTCCCGGGCAAACAGCAGTTGCTGCTGCTCTTGCGCCGCCTGCGACCCTGCCCGCCGCGACCGTCCCGGCTGCGGCACGGGCTCCATTGCAGCAGCAACTGTGGTCAGCTGCCACATCAGCAGCCAGCATGCCCACCTGGTAACGGCTGAAGTACGCGCTTGTCTTCAACACCTTGACGTACCCTGCGCACAACAAGGGCAGGGCATGCGGCCAACCAGCCCGCGCAGTCAAGCCGGTGGACTGACTGAGCGACGTCAAGTTGACAGCACACTGCCCCTTGGAAAAGCTGCAGCCTCCACTCAAGTGACGCGGCGAAGGCCTCCGCTGCGGCCGGCCTACAAAAGCGCGCCAGTCGCTCAAGCGGCGCCGCAGCAGCGCGCCACAGTGCGCCGTGCACACTGGCGGCCCCGCAGCCGAGCTAGAATCATCGCATGCTGCCGCGAAATTCTTGATAGCCGCAAACTGAGCGTTCTGGGCACGCTGATCGTGCTCCAGATTGCTGAGCCCGAAGGGGCGGCCGCACAATGTCAGAAGGGCCGCACAGAGCTGCGACCCTCGAACAAGGAACTAAAGACGAGAGCTGGTCCTCTGCATGTCAAGCCTGATCGCACGGCGGCTAGATTGCTCGCTGTCACAGCCATGCGAGTGAGGCGCTGTTTGCACGATGCTCACCCATGGTTGCTACGCTGTGCTAGCCAGGTTACGCAGGCCACGAAGGGCAAAAGGACTGAGTCCCACGAGCGTGCGGCACTTGGTGCTGCTGCATATGCCCGCTCACACGCCGCCGACGCCGACAGGGGTGCGCATTTCGCCCGCCCCTGTTCTGCTTCCTGTTTCACCCTCCACGCTGCCCTTGTCATGAATCGCATGTTGAGTTTCCCCTTTGACCCACAAGTCGCGGCAGCCAGCCTACTTGCACGGGAACAGCAGAGGCGTGGCGACTGGAGAGCAGCTGTTTTGCGCATCAGAGTGGAAGAAACAACCGTCGATCATGAAGTCGGATTGTCAGGCACATTCACCATTTTGTGCAGGCTCTGTTGGGGTTGATATTGATGGGGCAAACTGCTCTCGCCACAACCGCTTTGGCCCTGTGGAATACCTGTACACTATGCTTTCTACTCGTGCGCAAGACGTCCAGGGGTCTCCTGCCAGGCGTGAAAAGGTGAACCCCTGCCGTTCTGCTGGTACTGTATGCACTTTATCTCGTCACACTTTCAAGTGCTTCATTGCCACACTGGACACTCTTGGCACTGTTCAGGTCATGGCAAACGCTTTCAGCAAACACCAGACAGGCGCCTGCTCGCCCCCTCAGGGCCCCCTCGACTCAGCGATGTGGTGCCACATTTGAGACACGCAGATCCAAAACTACCCTTGCAAAGTGACAGGCTGTCCGTCCAATCGGTGTGAAGGGTATGCCTCTGCAACGCTCCACCAATGCATTAGCCATCCAGCCTTCAAAGCAAAGCAACGTTGGAGCCAGAGTGCAAGCAAGCGCCCAGGCCCAAGTGCTGCAATGGCTAGTGCAAGGGACTGACAGCGTCTAAAAGCAATAAAGAGCCCAGTGGCAGGCGCCGTGCATCGCCTCCCACAGGGCAGGGATGTGCCGAGGATTGTAGGTGACCCAGAAGCTTCAGCATCTTGTTTCATATTGTGACATAGTGCTCGCAATTGGTGAGTTGATGTTGGAGATAGAAGGGCCGCTGCCAAGTACAACACCCAAGGACGCTGCGCACAGCGCAGTGCACACGGCTGCGGTGAGCTGCCAAGTGTAATCTGCCTAATCGCCTCCCACCTGCCGTCAGCCCAAACCCAGCGACAACGCTCCAGCCGACAGTCATCACAGGTCTCGTTGCAAAAACCTGGTGCCTCGCCCGCGTGCCAGGAGGCGGTGTGCGAGGGACAACGCAGTTACGCACGACACTGCAACTTATGCTGCAATCACAGCAGACCGTATGTGGCAGGCCAGTAAGCACGTTTGGCTGGCGTTCCGGCGTTGTTGTAGCTGAGGTTGGTGCGGTCGCGTACACGTCCGCAACGCAGAGTTTTCGATGGCGCACACGGTGACAAGGGAATGATGTGGCAGGATCCGCATGACATACTTCAAACCTTCGACACCTGGCCATCGAGCAAGATTGCTGCTTTGCAATGTTTTCACTGAATTACCAGAGACACGCGATGCTGTTGCCAACTTCGTGCCTTTCTGGCCAATTCGATGGCCAGGGTGGCTGGCCCAGCATGCCCGCCGAGACGCAGTGCTTCGGCGGAGAAAAGCAGCTCAGTGCCGTTGCCATCCGTACGTTTACACGATGAATCTAGTGCTTCATTCACATGTCACTGTTGCAAACACAGGCCGAACCAAGGCACGAAATATCATAACCGTCCCTACGAATCAGCGGGAAACGGGAGAGCTTCTTTTGAGAAATCTTGCCCTTCACCCATTACCAACAAATACTTGTATCATAAAGGACGGCCGTGGTCCCAACCAGGGATGCCGCTTAGCTTGGAACTGCACGCTGGCAGCGTATGAAAATAGGCTCAGGAGCTGTAAATAGCACAACAAGGAAGTCTGTAGCCCTCGGCGCTGGTGTGTGTCGCGAGTCGTGGACGATGGGCGCTCCCGCCGCTTGAGGGCCCCTGCCCCGTTCTCATGCCAAAAACGGGACTTTTGCACCCCTTTATGCTGTCGATCGCCGCCGGCTTGCTCAGTGCAGCGAGCGCCGGCGCATCAGGGCCACCACCCCGTCAACGCAGCGCGCAGCGCGCCCACCCACCACTACCACATGCCCACGGCCAGCCACACGGTCTCAAAGGAAGAGCCTTCCTTACCCCGTGTCCCCATACAAACCGCTGTGTGGCCACCTCACACAGGCCATGGGCTTTCTGGGCCGGATCCTGCGGCAGGGCAGAGTCGGCGAGGCCGCTAACAAGGCGAAGGGCGGGGCCATTCACACGGGCCCGGGGCCGGCAGCGGCGCCGGCGCCGCCGAGGCTCTTGTACCCCAGCGGCAACGGCGATGACAGCGACGACTCTGATGATGACATGTGAGCAGCAGGCCGGCTGGGCGGGCAGCGCATGGCTGGCGGCGCGTTGCGTGCGCGCCATGTGGGGTCGGCCTGCATGCGCGCGGCGGCTAGCGGGGTTTTGATGCGCAGGCATGCAGACCGTCTGGTTGTGTTTCTACCCGCGCTCAGCGGCTGGCGTTCAAACACATCCCTATGCATGCAGGGTCACACTGCCAAACATGGGCGGCCCGCTGCTGTCCGAGCCCGTCTTTGCGCCGCGCCGCGGCGCGCTCGACATGGGGGGTGACAGCCTATCAGACTCGTGCGCGAACCAGGCGCGCTGCAGTGGCGTGGCCCCAGCTGGGCGCCTCAGCGGCGCGTCTCTCGGCGGGTCCGAGATAGAGGCGCTTTACACCGATCTTGTGCTGACGCACCGCGGCAGGTGCGGCAGGGGATTGGGGCCGGACTGCACCCCACGGTTTCCGAACAGGACCCACGATCGCGGCCACGACTTGGCAGCTGCGGTCAGGGATTTGTAGCTGAGAAACGTATGCTGCGCAGACACAGGCTTGCAGTTCCTGCAGCGCCGTCCTTCGGGCCAGTGCACACCGGCTCACATGCCGAGAGCTCCACCTGCCTCGACCCACCGTGCACCCGCCACCCCCTCGCGCCCTCAGGCACGCCATGATCTACCGCGCCCGCGAGCGCCGCAGCCGGCGGCGCGTGGTGCTCAAGGCGTACCTGAGGCAGCACCGCAACCCCACGCGCGCCGCCGCGCTGGAGAGGGAGCAGCGGATGCTGCGGCTGGCCGCGCCGCATGCTGGCATCGTTGCCCTGGAGCGCGTCCTGGAGGTGGGCACGCGCGCCAAGCTGCAGCTCACCGCTGGAATTGATCAGTTTGTGGCAAATAGGCGTCCGGCATGCCGGGTCGCTGGCGTGTGCCGCCCACCCTGGCTGTGGCCGCTCAAAATGCAGCAGTCAAGAGGCACGCCTCAGCCTCGCCTTGTATGCGGGCCTGAAGGCGCCTGGGCACGCACCCACCCCTTTGCTTGAGCTTGCTGTTTACCCGCTCTCTGCAAATCTCAGAATGCTGACGCAACATACCTGGTGCTGGAAGCGGGGGCTGGCGGGACCCTTATGGAGGCGATCGCGAACAGCGGTGGCCACCTGCCAGAGCGCATCGCGGCGCGGCGCGTCGCGGGGCCGCTGCTGCGGGCGCTGGCGCACCTTCACGCGCGCGGCGTCGTGCACAGGTGCGAGTCACAGAATCTAGGGCACGCATGCAATCGTGCCTTCGCACGAAGTCTTGGGTCTCCTTTTTGCTCAACAAACAACTGGCCATGCTCTATCAGGCTGCCCCGCTGGCCGGCGGCTTGAGCAAGTACCTGATATGCAGTTCCACTCGCATGCCCTTCCCCTATTTTCTCGGAACTCCCAGGGACCTCAAGCCTGAGCACGTCCTGATAGCGAACGACGGCGTCCGCGTCGCCGACTTCTCCTCCGCGGCATGCCTGCCCAACGCGCCGCCTGCGCGGCCGCCGCTGCGGCCGGACATCAGCCAGCGCGCGGAGACGCTGCGCCGCAGCCTGGAGCTCCTGCACGCGAGGCACCACAGACAAACAAGGTCTGGGCCACCGACACCTGACAAGGAGGGCGGCAAAGGCCACCAGCAGCAGCACCAGCAGGAGGAGGAGGAGGGCGAGCGGCAGCAGCAGCAGGAGCAGCAGCAGGGGGAGCAGCACCACGACGTGCTCAACTACCGCGTCGGCAGCATGGAGTACATGGCGCCGGAGATGCTGGCCAAGCCGACTGCGGCGGAGGTTTTCCACCTGGTGCGGACTGGCGCGGTGCGCGGTGCCCTGTGACATGCGTCGCACACATGCATGTGCGCATGTGCACATGTGCGAATGTGCACATGCACGCATGCACATGCTTGAGCACATGCGTGCGCACATGCATGTGCGCATGTGCGCATGTGAGAACCGCAACACACACTTCTCTGTTCCCAGGTGATCGCCCACGGCATGGATGAGGAGGAGCTGCCTGTTTATGATGAGAAGGTGGATATCTGGAGCGTGGGAGCGCTGCTGTTCGAGGCCCTTACGGGCTTCCAGCCCTTCCTGGCAGACGGCGCCGCAGAGATGGCCGCGGCCGTCGCGGCACGCCTCGCAGACCGCGACCCTGAGACCGGCCTGCCGGTGTTCCTGTCGCGCCAGCCCGCGCTGAGCGCCGACGCCAAGGACTTCATCGCGCGCTGCCTGGAGGCGAGGCCAGAGGCGCGGCCGAGCGCTGCAGAGCTGCTGGCGCACCCCTGGCTGGAGCGCCGCGGTTCTCTTGGCGAAGCGCTGTCCCAGGCGGTGCATCCCCAGCCAGGCCAAAAGACTCCAATGAACCGCTGCCTTTCCGAGGCCGCGATCGCGCCAGCCACCGGCCACATGGCCGACTCTGACCCTGGTGTTGTGCTGGGGCCGCTGGAGGGCCTGCACAGGAGCCCTTTGCTTCGCGCAGGGTCGGACGCAGATCTACTGCATCGCAGCAAGGCGGGGCCCCTAGCAGACGAGTGACCGCGCCGCGCGCGCGCATGCTTGCACGTGCACATGGCTGGCAGTGGCAGGGACTGTGAGTCACTGCCGAGCGGCCTTGAGTGGCGGGGGCGCGTACAGCACCAGGCATCAGACATGCGCCAAAACCTGCGCGCGCCGCAGCCCATACTTTGCCCTGCATGGCCATTCCACGAGGGCAAGCCGAGGCGCGGGCGCTGCAGGCGCTGGACGCATTCGGACCGTCCCCGCCTTCACCCCAGAAGCAAGCACACCGTCGCCGCCCGCTCGGTTCGCCTGCTTCACTCTTTTGCCTTCTTACCCTGCCCGGTCGTGCCCCATTGGGACGGTGCCTATTGGACGCCTCGTGCGAGCCGGCAACAGCGCAAGTAGCGCACTTTGACGCCTTCGAACCATCCTCAGGGGCCCTAAGCAGTGGCCCTGCCCGTTTGCTGCGCGTCCGCCGCCCGTGCGCCGCCAGCCCTGATGGAATTTTTATTCAGGCGCTGGCGGTCGGGCGGCGCGCCTTGCCGTGCCCCTGGTTTTTTTGCGAGGAGCGTCGAGCGGAGTCTGAAGAGCGATGTGTGCCCTTTGGAGGTGTGCTTCTGCATGCGTGTGCCCCATGAAATGCTTGTTTGCCGCTCGTCATCATCACATTCGCCCGCTTAAACACCTGCATCGCCGCACGACCTCGGGCGTCGCGGCGCCGCTGCCCCGTGCAGCCGTGTGAGTCTAGGCGGCTCGCCGGCGTCGAGGCAGCGCCCCATTTTTATTAACGCCATGCGATATCCTACTCAGTGTGTTTGGGTTCCCGCTGTGCATGTGAGCGACGCGGGCCTCCTGGGGGTGGTTTTTGCGAGGGTGATTGTTCTCGACTTGGCCTGGTGAGCGTTGATGCAGCAGCGCGCGCTACCAAGTGGCCGCTGCCTTCGGCACGCCGTGCCTGCCTTTGGTCTGCCTCAAGGTTCGTGTGTGCTGCCTGGGTGCTGTGTGGCCATCCAGGCTCAAATGCGGCCCTGTGCTGCCTCTGAGTTACAGTCGCTGCAGCCAGGTTTTCGGTGGATCTTTTTGTGAGAGGCGCCCGCGTTTTCAAGAGTTACCATGTGGCTCAGATCCCAGGGATTTTGCGGCGGGGTCCTGCGCGCGGGAGTGCAGAAGCCTGTTGGGGCATCACACCACTGAGGGTGAGTCAGCAGGTTGTCTGTTCGGGTCCTGGATTCACAGGCCTCTCGAGGCGGGTGCTGCCAGGCTGAGCCCCAACTGACATTGACGTGCTCGAATCCAAATGCAGGGTCAACAGCACGAGGCATGCACGATACAAACCAACATCAGCGGCCGCGGCTGTGTCCGTCCCAGGCAGCCCCGTCACAGTATATGATAAACAGAGTAAATGGTGGAGCGATGTCTGAAGACCTCATTGACTGCCGCCCTGGCGTGGTATTTGGTTGCTTATAGACAGTATTCGCTTTTTATACCTGCTTGTTTGAACGTCACTGTGTCACACTCGGGCCTGAAAACTTCGCACCAGTTTGGCCCCCTGGCGCGGCGTGAATCGTGTAGGCTCGGGTGTTCGACGACCGCCGTTGACTATATTGATACCGTTTCAACTCGTTCTTGGACTCACACCTGGCCTCGTCGCCACTTACCTCTGCGTATCCAAACCGTATCAGGCCGTCCGTGGGTCGGTGGAGAATCAGCCCTCCTGGCCCTGAAGAGTTGGAATTACTGCTTTTGATTGAGTAACTTAGATAATCCAACCAGACCCGGATCAAGGCAATCACAGTCTGCGGCGATGCGCCCGGCCCCGCGACTAAAACAGGAGGCATAGCGCTGCGGGATGGGCATCTTCGCAATATTTCAAAAGAAAGAACCAGTCTTGAAGCTATCTCAGCACCGCAATGGTCCGCCGCTGTGGCCAGTCGGCACCAAGGGCGACCTGCAAATCGGCGGGCCACGCGACAGCGACAGCAGCAATCTCAGCCCGCCGTGCGTGGAGTCCAGCGATGGCAGCACCACGTCAGAGAGCGGGCCGTGAGTTACTTTCCAGTGACGAGGGGGGAGCTGCGGCCCGCCTGGCTGAGGCGCGCTGTGCCTGCTGCGCGAGCGTCATGCGCTGGGTCGATCCGCCGCGATCAGCCGCATGCATCAGCTCATGCCGCCAACACCACCCCATGCATGCGTCACGGCGATGCCCGCGCCCAGCCTTGCGCTACCCTGGTCAAGTCTGTCCACGCCGCCGCAGCTCGCCCCCTGCTTGCCGCGGCGCGGCGCGCTCGACCTAGGGG